TCAGAAAAATACTGTCTTATTTGGGACATCTTGCCTGTATTACATGGTTATGCAGTATCCTGTCTGCACTAAAGTAAGCTACACTTCCTTGATTTTGATAACAAAGGCGAGTGCGACTCATATAAGTTATACTTGAGTGACCTCAGTGAATACAAATTGAACAACATTTGTTGAGGATGAGTGTTACCTCAATGAGCAGAACATATTGCTCACCCTCCACTCATGCTCACACTTCAACTCTTCTTGAGTACACCTGACTGGAATGGCACTAAAGTGTTAGTGTGAGTAAGCTTTCAGAATACAGCCGTTAGCCACCCTAACCCTCTAAGCTTAATCACATTATGAAATGACTTAAATATAAAGTTGATGTTTCAAATTTTTCCCAAAACAAACACAATCAGATAAAAGGTGAAGTGAAATCGCCCACTTTCCTGCTGCATTAGCTACGTTGCATGCATTTTATAGACTTTCACAGCTTAAGTGAGAGTTAATACTTCACTATAGCTAAACTGTCAAAACTTCAAAAAAGCACAAATAATTTAAATCCCCAAGTACTAAAAGTTGAATTTTTTCCGATTATTGAATTTATGCAGTGATTGCAGTCGACTCTATAAAAACCTTAAAGTGATATTTGTTGTTTCTCTATATTTAAACAGCTAACCACCAGTTCAAAATAGGCTTTTTACTCGGGCTTTCCACGGGAAATGCCCGAGGTATAAAATGGGCTTCGGTTTTCCTTTTTTTTTTTTTGTGTTCATCGCGAAATCGCAGTCAAGACAAAAACACGCATGTGCAAAGGAACATATATGGTCAACACAGGATAATAACTGTGTTTAACATTAACAGTGATTCAAATATGGCGTATTGTAGGTGTGAATTTTTGTCCCACAAAGTCAACACAAATATTGTGTATAACAAGCTCAATGCATACACAAAATGTGTGTACATCGTTCAATATAGATGTATACATGTACGAAAAGAGCTTTTTCGGGTATTCAAGCGTTATGAGAGATCAATTTATGATAGATCAATTTTACGTATCTAACGTAAGCGAACATATATGAGGGGATTCATCATCGGGAACCATGCTGTAGTAACTGAGTTATCTAATATTATTCCACTGAAGGATGTACGCGCATTGCATTTTGTACTTATCTGCGATAATGCACCAGCTCAACCAACCAAAATAAGAAGAATTACAGTTACAATGCGAATTTTGGAAAGTGTCAAAAGGAATAGAAAGGTTAGACTATTTGTTTTATAATCATATTTATGGAGACAATGGTGTATTGTTTATATGCCAATATTAGAATGTATGAAAATGGAGCAAAGTGTTTAAATTGTTGTGAACAAGTATATCAATGTAGTTTATTGTGTTCTTGTAATAAAGTGATGTGTTCTTTCAAAAGCAAGATTCATTTGGAAAATTATTACAAATATAAATTAAGTGGGGACATAGAAAAAAATCCTGGGCCTTTAGTGTATGTCGACCCAAACAAAACAATAGCAGCTCCATATAGTCAAGGCAATCAGCTGCTTTTTGGGCAGAATGCAGGGCAGCAATGTGTTGCAATGAGTTTGTGCTCATTGATTTACAGTTACACAATTAAATGTATCAGTTCTGCGAATGACCTTGTAGAAATAATGAATATTGGTAACAAGTTGTATTCAAGATCGTCACAATTAGTCGGACAGGCATTTTTAATGCAATCAGAATTACCAACAATATTAAATATCTTTGATACTGATTACCAGTTAGGGTACAGTGAAAGCTACTCAGGTACTGTTAAGCAAGAAAGTTCTACAGAGGGGTATCAATACTGTACCTCATTGCAAGAAGCTTTTGAGTGCCTTATATCTGATAACTACACCTATTTCATATTAATGGTGGGGTGTATTGGAGTTGCAATTTATTGTAATCATGGTGATATTATATTTTTAGGTCATTGGTAAAGATACTGATGACAAAGAATTGACTATAAAAATGGGAGATGAAGTCCTTTCGAGCTTGTTAAACATTTAGGGGTTTTAGCACTGGATGAAGATGCCTTAGCGGAACATTTGCTATTTGTCAATAATGTCACGTTAACGTACGAAAAGAGCAGTTCATTGGCAATAGCTTTTTGTTAATTTCTGCTTTTATAGTTGTGTGTATTTAATTTACAATTTTGTTGTGTGTATTAAAATTTCTATATCATACCTTCATGGGTTTTATTACTCGCGCTACCTGTGGTAGCCGAGTCTAGGTTTCGCGATTGTTAATTTTTTTTCGTGTCGCAGGCTTAGTCTTCCGCGCGGACAGTCGCGTATTTAGAGTGTATTCAGTGTATCAATATAGCTCAGTTTCAGTTCAGTGTATTTATTGAATACATAGCCCGAGTTAACGCCTACCCGGCGTCTTGTATTTAAATGTTTTTCGTTCAAAACGCATATCAGCTTTTGCAACAACTGTGGCTCCTCGTTTAATGAAGGGTAAGGTGGAACTGACTTCAAAAGGTGAAAAGCAAAATTGCTGTGTTTGTATTTCATTGATTGATTGATATTTGCAATAAAAAACAACAGGTATTGTTATATAGGTGCTGTGTATTTTAAATGTTATTGGTTCATTCGTAGTCACGTAACTTTAATTATCACGCTTTTGGTGATATCAAACAATAGCTAAATTAAGAGATATTCTGAATCACAGCAGGGTATTGTGACAGAACATAATGGGATCCAAAGTTGCCCAAATTCCATGCCATGGACCTTGGACGTTCAATCGTCATAGCATTTGTGTGCATGCGTCAAATTTGAACGAGTGAAGACAGGAACACCTTCCTGATTAGATAAGACAAAAAGTGTGTATATCAATAAGAATCCGAGCAACAGACATTTTTCATTATAGACTACTTTTATATCTATTCAAGGATATGAGCTGAAAAGAGCGTACTGAAATTAGAAGAAATGCAAAGTTTGGTTGCGAAATGTTTTAAATTGCCGGATATATAGCCTTGCAAAGGTTACAAGTTTGTGTTCTTTTTTACAACAAACAAGGAAATTGTTGCCACATTCATGCCAAAAATGGTACCAATTTCCGTTCGATAAAGTATACAAATTTGCAAACCTTGCAAGGCTATACTTCCCGCATTTCAAAACATTTGGCAACCAAACGTTGCTCTTCTACTAATTGTAGTACGCTCTTTTCAGCTGTGGTGATTTAATGGCATTTCCTTGAATAGATAGAAAAGTAGTCTATAATGTAAAACGTCTATTTACGTGCAATTTCGCAAACTTCTTTGTAAAAGCGTTTTATAAACTTTTAACAAAATAAAATGTGGAAAAAATACGGTAACAAACCGGGATACCGTGCAAGCTGGAACAAATCATTATCCGTAAGCTTTTATTGTTTATGAGCTTGGTATGTCATTTTGCAATGACCCGACTATACTACACTACGCTCTGAAGCTTTGAATATTTTTCGAATGCAATTATCGATTGAATATTCGAAAGATAACAAAGATATCCTTTGTTAATTATTCAGAAGAATAACGGACATTATGATATACCACTTGTCAAAGTTTGGTGTTCGTAGCATTTCATTGGTCGAGAACGAATGACGTGAGAGTGACGAAATTTTGATGTCGTCCACGCGACCCTCTGTTGAGTGAGATATCGTGTTATTTCCCATGGGTAATAACAACTTCAATCACGTGTGGCGCGCCTGGACATTTTCAAATTATGTCTTTTACGATTTATATTTCGTTGTTTACCTTGTTGTTTAGTTTTTCGTTGACAAGTGGTATATAATAAAACTCTTTTACCGAGACCTCAGAAAACATTCAACACTTATTTACTGCGAACGAAGGAAACATTATGTTTTGTGGACTCGAGACCTGCGATATTTGACCTGCGATGGTCGAGGGTCCATAAAACATAATGTGTTCTGAGTTCTCGGTAAATAGGTTTTTTAGTATATACCACTTGCCAAAGAAAAACCAAACTGCAAGGTAAACAACGAAATATCTATTCATAAAAGACATAATTCAAATGGATAAACAGTCTAAAGGTCGCACGTCCAGGTGCGCTGCACCTGATTAAAGTTGTTATTTCCCATGAGATAACTCCCATGAGATAACACGTTATCTCACTCTGCAGAGGGTGGCGCGGGCGACATCAAAATTACACCAAACTTTGACAAGTGGCATACAATAATATTCTTTGTGGGTGTACAAAAAATAATGTTTCCCTTGGTCGCAGTAAATATTAAGTGTTCAATGTTTACTCCGCTTTTTGTTATTTTAGAATAGATGCACTACTTTAGCTCTATTATTTGGCTGGCTTAGGTGATTATTAATTTTGCTTTGTTTGAAATGGCGAGGGCTAATGCATACTGTATTTAAGTTATATTTGAAACTGTTTGTTTTAACAAACATGCAATTATATATACTGATTCGCGATTTCTGGGTAATGAACCCACAAGAGTTTGCTAGTGTATGCGTTATGTCAACTGTACATAATTTTATGTAAATTGCATGATACTTTTGTAAATTGAAAGCATTAGCGTCGAGTTAACGCGTCTCAGATCTTATATAACAGGTAATACAGTACGAAATCAAACATTTTCTACTGAAGTACCGTTTGGTGTTTGTTCCAAATTTCAGAATGCACAGTTCGTTTGGGCAAGTCATCCTTTACTATTAAAAATTTGAAAAATCTGAGCTAATAGCTACGAATCTTTGATATGTTTAAAAATGCCTTAAAATCGCTCTACCAAAGCGGATTAAGGAATGTGTCCTTCCCACACATTACACGACTCTCAGAATTGGACACATTAATTCTACGAAACACAAGTCGAATTAACAGAAGAAAAATGACTATTTAAAATTAATGCAATTACCAGAAATCTTATTGGGCAAACACGGCTAATATGTATAGCTACTTAGCAAACATTCGGTGAAAATATCACCAGTTTTGTACGGTGTAATTCTGCTTAATATCACACATCTATTCATGAAGATTACCTCTCCGAGTGTCCAATCAGACAATTTTTGAGATTCAGCAATTTTTTCATACACTCTTGCACGAGCATCATCGGTTGTCCTTACCCCAACAGAAGATATTCCCAAATTTGTCATGAGATTTCCTAGCTCGCCAAAGCCATATGATTCGATCTTTGAAACTAAATTTGCATCGGCCATGTTCTGATTTATGCACTGATCAAGAATACGACTTGAATAAAGTGCAAGTGTTCCGAACGGTGGAGTAGAGTATGTTCAAGACCAAATGGTAAGTGAGTAAATATTTGGCACTGATAGTCGTTCTTTATGAGTATATCTCCCGCAGACAAGTTCACAGAGGCACACAAAATGTTGACCAATCAGCGCGTTTGTTGACATGTCGTCAAGAATAATCGAAATGCGTGAAATTCCCTAAATTTGAACAGGAGTAAAAAATAAAATCATGACTTAAGGCTTCCGCAGTATTCAATATTTACTTTTTCACTCTAAAGCCACAGAAAACTGATAGCGATAGCGATTATGTTTTGCAATTTCAAAATTGATCAAGAACGAAAAATCTACCTATAAAATTTACTTTTATGAAAGCCGTGTCCTTATATAACCCCTGGATATTTTACTTGATTTACTTACATTTTTTGTCAAAAACACAGGTCGCCGCAAGAACGACAATTGGGGGGGAGGGTCAGATATTTATATATTCCTTATCACATGTGTGAACATTCGTGAACGTTCTACGATTAATTCTATATATAAAGCTTTGTTGCCAGTTAAACAAACTTGCGCATGCTCAGACAAAATGCCCACCCAACTGTTGCCATGCAAAATTCAAATAAGAATATTTAAACCAGTGGTTACTATCGCATGGAAATTGCAGAGTACAAACTGCATGCATTTCTTTTTTACTTGCTAAACTATATTAACACATAATATTCTCGTACGTTTCTAACAAAGCGCTCACAGGGCTTCTTGTTTGTTCTCGTCATCGTCCTTGTCGAAATTGGTGCATCACATCTTCTGTGACTAAAGTTGTTAAAAAATTTTTCAATCCTAATATTACTATTGACGGTAGTTTGGAACAGCAATCTGCCTAGCTTTTATGATTTGAAAAACACTAAGATCCTTTCCGCCACCATTTCAATGCTTAACGGTAGAACAGTTAATAGAATATACATGGTTTGAAGACTAAATAAAAGTACAATACAACTCATTAACTATGTTATCGTCCTGGTTTATGCAAAAAAATGGTTTATTTCTCGTCACGTGTCGCTTGTATTTTAGCCAAATTTACCAATAGCATTTGTCTTCATAAGCTCATCAACCTTGACTTGGAAAATATTTTAATGATAAGATAGTTGCTATTGGTTTATCTGTGCAAAATACAATAGACATGTGATGAGAAAGGAACCTTTTTTTCATAAATCTACCTCAACATAGTTAATTGTAGTCTTATATGGTCTCCAAACCATGTATATTCTATCATAAACTGTGATGGTAGTATAGGTTTGAATTTGATGGGTGCTCCTAGTGTAACCAGATTTGGTACATTTTTTCTACTAGAGCTAGTCAGATGCACACGGACAACCCCAGATGATTTTATTCATACCACAATTAGAACAGTGAGGGGAAGTTTAACTAGATCTAGATTTTACCAGTTTTGGCTTCGGTAGGATTGGTAGATTTTTGAATAAATAAAATTATTAACAAAACCTTTCCTTAAAAGAATGATTAATCAAAGGCCTGTAACAATGTTTGTATTTTTTTATATCGAGTAACTTACAAACCATGCTTCTCCATTGTCATGGGTCCCAATAAAGGAAGCACTTGGTTTGTCACTACCATTTGCATTCTACACAGGTTGATGAGGCTCCACTTTGTTGTACGTTTTAATTGCCATTTAGCTTAGGGTTGTTGAACTGTAACATTTGAGGGATGTAAAGGCTGGGATTTAAATTTGTTTGTGAGGAATTCAGCTTACTTGACTTTCAATTGTTTTTCTGAATTTCATTTTACTGCTAAAATATAAATTTTTAGATGAAATTATGAAGATTGTTCTTGTATGCAAAAATTATTTTGCTTTATTTAATGCAATACCATGTGTACAGTTTCATTTGTCCCTGTTGGTGCTAACTGCTGAATGGAAATTTCTATGGCATGCTCATAAAATTTTTTAATGGTTTTAACTTACTGAAACCAGGCCGGGTATATAATTGTGAAAATAATTGTGGGAATTAAAAAGGTTGAGAAAATAAATATCTTAACACTTGCAAATTGCTGAAAGAACCATGACTTTTATTAATGCCCATTCTGGACAAAAATAAATTCCAAGATTTAAGATATTTGCAAAGGATTTTCAACAACTTAAATGTTAATTTGGTCATGCTGCTTAACATATGCTAAGATTTCTAATAAAGAGAAAAATCTTGGGATTTTAAATTTGTTAAAAGTTTATGAAAATAAAGTTCAAAAATAAAAAATAAAGAAGACATTGTATATCCACAAATTGCAAAGCATACAGTATTCAAAATGGAACATAGTCAATTGACAAATAAAGCAGGTCAACATAAATGTCAATTTCATGCCCTCTGTATTAACTCTGAATATATTCATAGTTGTTATATCAATTTATACAACAATTATATATCGGATAAAATTTTTGCACAAGTTTATCTTAAGCGTGCTATCGCACACGTTTTTTGAACTCTGATTGGTTAAGCCTAAAAATGTAAACAAACGATCTGATTGGTTAACGTGTACCATATACAAGTAATACAATTTGTATACAGGTGTTAGAACAATAAAGATCAAAGATAAGAAGTTGTCATATCATATTATTATTGTTATAACAATAAAAATCAAATAATTGAAAAGTGACTAGCAACAGCAGGCCATATTGCTAATAGACCAGTTTGCCAGGACAGTCTGCATTCTATAGCAATTGTATACATACTAATTTCATATTACAAATTTATTTCAGCTACGTAAATTAGCTTGTAGGTACGTACACCATGTAAGTATTTAATACTGCAAAGATTTGGGTCTGTTAACACAGGCCTCAATCTGTGCAATAAACAAAGTTCAATTTGTTTGATGTCACCATGCGAGTGTACAAGAATATTATTTCAGATAGCCGGAATGTATTTTGCTCTCTTTTAAATTGTTTTATAGTAGCTGCTAACCGGACTAAATACTTTAGCAAAAACAACCACAAAATGTTACAGAATTGATCAAGTGAGAGTGAGGTCGTTGCAAGTTTATTTCAGAAATAATCATCTGATTTCTTTATTTATATATTCATATCAAAATTGGCATTTGAGAAAATATCTTTATTAGTTAATTAGGCTAGCTTATTTGGTATGCATGTAGTGGACTAATTAAGAGGTGGCTGTAAATGTGGAAATCTATTTAGGGCATAGCAATATTTAACTGTGAAGACTGTAATGCTATATGTAGTTATATATACTAATTACGTACAGAACAATTAATACTTGCAAATTATTCTGGATAATGTCATCAAACATCATAGTGAATAGATCAGATTTAATAAAACACTAAACCAAAAAATATGAAAATTTTTGAGCAACAACTTATTGCCATTGCCTTGAAGCCAATAGTGAAGATCAAATAGCAGTTTAGCATTGACCACATACCCTGAAACACCAACACTCCCCCCCCCCCCCCATCCCTTAGTCCCAAATCCATGGTTAACAGTACCATATATAGCTTCTTTAGTAACGCTATAACATCCCACTGTACTTTAACAGTCACTTGCAATCACAAATTTACCTAATTAGTAACAAAATAATTTAATATATATATGACCTGTTATAAACACAAATAGACATAATACTTATATTAATAACATATACTTGCTTACCTCTAGTCTCTACTCTTGAATGAATTTCATTCAATGAAAGGCAAACGTTTATCGATCACTTTGCCTTTGATCTAAATTATCAAATCACTACCAACTGACAGCAACAGTGGAAAGAAACAAAACCAACAAAGCCATATATATTAATATATACTAATGTAATGTTCAGAACCTGGAGAAGTTCCAGCCAAATGTTCGATTGCGCAGTGCCGCTCAGTGCTTGACAGCTGATTTATTCGATGATCGGATTTAGGATTAGGTAATCTCTCTGGACAGACATAAATCCAGATTTCAATGTTCCCCCCAAAAGTCAAAACCCTGGGTGGATTTGCTCCAAACCATCAGATCGGAACGAAAGATAATCCGCGCGTGCGCCGTCTGTTGAAATTTTTGGCTTATATTGATCCGAAAGCGTCCGAGACCGGATAAAAAAGTTCAAATAGTTTTAACTTTTTTTGATCCGATTCGAAATCACTTAATGGATCGGACCAGCTCGGAAAAAAATCCGATCCGATCCTCTGCTCGTTTTCCGGAGTGGAAATTAGCCTTAACATGGCAAAACGGGCAGCTTGCTGCATAGCTATTTTGTAAGAAATGGGTTAAAGAAGAAAGTGAAGGAAGAGTTAAATTAATCCGAGATTTTTCGATTGTCCCCGAGCCGGTGCGGAGCACCGTGCGAGGGTACTAATTCCGCCCGGAGATTAGGAATTACACCCGGGACCCGGGAGAGCATAGCGGAATCCAAAGTTGCCCAATTGTCATGGACGTTCAATGGTCATGGTACTTGTGCGCATGCGCGAAATGCGAACGAGTGTAGACTGGTAATCAGCAACTTCCTGATTGGCTAAGACGAAACGTTTGTGTTCCAGTGAAAAACGTCAGCAATCTAACTGTCATTTTGCAAACTATTTTTTAAAAAAATGTTTCGAAAACAAAATATGAAATGTGGAATCAAATAACAGATAAAACACTAGGAAGAGTTTAAAATATTATCAGAACTGGAGGAATTAGCGGTGAAAAGGAACAACTCGATTATAATCCTTGAAATGGTAGGAGTCTATTTTGTTTATTTCGAGGTTTATTTCGTGTTTCCTGTACGGATACATTTTATGACCTTGGCTTGGTACAGTATGTCGTTTTGCTCGGTTTTGCGAAGACGTGACCGACTATTTAAGGCTTTACATCATCGTTTTAACTTCCAAAAGAGTCCTTAAAAGTGTAATTCGGAGTTTTAATACAACAAATATCACCTTTTTTTTTTAACAAAGGTTTATATATAGTCGACTGCAATCACTGCATAAATTTAAAAATCGAAAAACAACATTCGACGTTCATTGCTATGTTATTTATATTATTTGGGCTGTTTTGATGTTTTGAAGGTTAAGCTATAATGAAGTATTAACTCTCACTTAAACTGTGAAAGTCTATAACTTAATGTAACGGAAAGCAGCAGGAAAACAGGTGATTTCACTTCACCTTTACGACTGTGTTTGTTTCCGAAATATTTGAAACATCAGCAATCGGCTTTACATTTAGGACATTTCATAATATTGAAGGTTAGGTCTGGCTAGCTCAGGAAATATTTGCTTCGTTTGAAATGGCGAGGGGTTGCTGCAGGCATTTATTTCTAGTAATAGTATGCTGATAGGGTAAGACAAGTTAAATTTTAAATAAATTAGTTTGTCGGTACACCACGATCTAATTTTCTAAGGACTGCAAAGCTCTCGGTCCGTTAACCCGGCCGGGCCTTCATCCGAGCAATAAAGGGCCAGGTGACGGACCGAAAAATTTGCAGTGGTATATTTCTTATTAGAAGAGATATTGATCCATACATAAAATCATCTTTTTAGTATTTTGCATAAAATACTTTTCGTCGCAATTTTTATTTCATTTCATTTCATGGGGCAGGTTATTTGAACGCCTTGCAAAACAACCTGCCAGGCAAGGCATTTCGGATTTCCTTACTCATAAAAAATGTGTAAATTTTTTTCAAGGGTTTGCGTAATCATTTGCCTGCACTTGTCCCAGGCATGACAGAGGTCTCTTTTGAAGATTGTAATAATAAAATGAGAATTAAGTGGCCTTTTGCGAATAAAATACGCGAAAAAATATGCACACACTTCTATAGCGAGGATTTGCTGTCGACAGTATAATATTCAGTATTATTATACTATATATAGTATTAATTTCTAGTAATGAGTAAGTTCCACGCCAACTTTACAAGTCTTGGAGCAACTGGTCGTCTTGGTCCTTCATCCCTGGGCTCCTACTATGTGGGGAAAGATAATGACAACATGGTGACTCTCAAGAATGGGACACAGTTCTGGACAGTTCCCTACACTGGAACATACGAGATAACTGCAGTTAGTGCAGCTGGAGGATATGATAAATACAGCTCAATTGCTCGAGGTCGTGGGGCTTATATGAGAGGTGAATTTACATTTCAGTAAGGAGATGTAGTTAAGATATTGGTTGGACAAACAGCTCCAGTAAATACTGCAAGTTTTCCGTCAGAGGGAGGTGGCGGATCATTTGTAGCGACATCGTCAAACACACCACTTATTGTTGCTGGAGGCGGGGGTGGCGTTGAAGGTCTCAGTAATAGACTGGCAAAGTGCGATGCATATGCAAGTACTGGAACATCTGGAAGAGGAAATCAATGTAAAGCGTCCTGCGCTATTTGGTCTGGGGAGAAGAATGCATGGGAGTGGCGCTTTACAAGCAGACAGCAGTTACTCAGGTCAGGTCTTTAGATTTTTATAAAGTTACTAAAACGTGACAAGACAAAAGGGTAGCTAAATATAAAAATGTTTATAAATAAAATAGCCAGAGAGTACGACACAAAAGTTATTTTTATTTGTTCTTCTGTTAAGGTTTAAATCAACACATCAACAATTAACACTAATAAATCCATAATCGTATAATTACAAGGATTCACTTAATTAAAAGGATATCTTACACGCAGAAGGAGACACTTCAAAACAAGTCGCCTACCTATTGTTATGAGTGGGGCGTAGCTAGAAGCTTAATTGGGGGGGGGGGGTGTATTCATGAATTCATCTTATGCCCGACTGATTTCTTTTGTACGCTAGTGTTCCTGCCGTAGATAAACATAAATATATATGAATATACACACACCCCAATTAAGCGGTCTAGCTACGGCCCTGGTTATATTGGCAGAATGCACAAAAGCAACTGTAACCCATCAAATTCTCAGAGTAGGGTCGCAGCTCCTCGCAAGAATGATTTTCATTAGCTGAACTTTACAATACATTTCCGTTTCGACCAATAGCATAGCTTCGTTCTTTAGAAAGTATAGAAAAGCATTATCCAATTCGATGAAAAACTTCCGAGCACTGCGTATGTCACAATTCTCAAAGTATGGGCGCCAATGTCCCATAACCGTTGCCACATGATGAGAGGTTTGCTGCTATTTTCTGGCTAAATGGCGGGTATTACCCAGTGAACTCTAAAAAGACTGGATCCAGCACTGATATGGCGGCCATGAAGAGTTGAAATTTCACCACCAAAACAACGCCGGTTTTTACACACAAGCCCATTTCATCTGAGCATGAATAAATGCTTAAAACAAGCATTGACACTTAGATTTTACCATAAAACAAGTTATGTGAACGCGAAAAGGTGCAAACCTATTTTTGCCTATTTTAAACCTAAACTTTAAAATATTCTCGTGAAATTTATTTCAGGAGTATTAGACTAGGCAGGTACATACACAAATGGCTAATGCCAATGTGCACGTCACAAGGCTAATTTGTGTACAACGGGAAGTTAATAGTTTCATTATTAAAACGTTTTAATAGTCACGCTTCAGTTTTTTTATAATGTTTCAAGAATGCGTTGGGTAAAGTTTTTAAGCTAAAGGACATGGATAATAAATTAAAAAATGTCAAACTTTTACCGGCTGGAGATTAAGGAAAATTGAAAGAGCGTGCAAGAGATTCTGAATATATTATATATGCAGGATTTTACAGCCAGCTGATCTGCGATCATGACGTCATGAGGGGCTGTGACAGAACTGAGTTATCATGCTGCTGAATTTATTTCTTCCCGTTCTTCCAACTAAAAGTATGAAGGGCGAGAATTGTAAATTCTATTTTATGTAGTTATTATGTAGTTATTATATATATTATAATTTATATGAAAACAAAGATTAGCTTATTTAGTTTACGATTATACCGTTCTTACATCGATCCGACCAAAACTGGCCGAGTTATCGTCTTTTAAAAATTGTTGCTCGAAATCAAATTTTTCCTGCGATGGGAATTCGAAATGAGTCCTCCAGACAAAAAAAAATGCAAATTAATTAATGAAGGCATTGTGTTCTTCAAACTTCTATCGTTGAACATTGAATAAGCAGAATTTTTGCGATGAATTTGCGTTTTAGTATTCAGTAATGATTAGATTTTAAAGCCCTTTAGGACTAATTTTTAATAAAATAAACGTCCAGTTCCCATCGGTGGAGAATTGTGATTTTTATGAACTTTTTTGTCGAATTAGTAGTTCTTCATTTTTCAACTAAATTACACGTACAACGTGTCATTTGAAAGAAAAATAAATTAACTTAACAATGGTGTAAAAATCAACCAAATTTGTCAAATATATTTTGCATTATTACACGCAAAATTTCGATTCGAATTTTTTTTATACACCCTGTATACATATAATAGAATATATAATAGAATTTGCTTATTTTAATACTGCTCAGACAGCTGCGGTGTCCCATGCAAATAAAGTTTAATGTTCAATAAAAACGACAGGAAGTTCACTGGTCACAGGTGGCTTGTACGCACAAATGTCTCTAAAAAGTCAATTATGATAACTTTGTTGTTAGAAACTGTCACTATGAAGAGAATATAAACTACAGAAACAGAAAAAAACAAGTCATTCAGTTCACACATTTCATATGGCATGTCGTATATGAATAGTATAATTATATCATTGTATCCTGAGAGCGCAGTAAAGTGTAAAGCCACTGGACGGACACTAGCAGATTATCCATATTATCGAGCCTTCTTCGAGATGCTAACTTTTGTTGCCATTTTATCAATGACTTTGTCATTACTAAAAGCTCAACCTTGTGCTTTAAGACATTTCAAAAACGTCGGTGTTGGTAAGTCGGCGTAATTTACACTTTTGTGATCGTTTGGATCCCTGTTATTG